AAGATCAATAATAAGTCTTTAGTAGACTAACTTATTATTGATCTGAGTTGAACATATGAATTCTAAGCCCATTGGGAGAGCCCCTTTTATTTCTCCTTAGGGTCTCTGTCATAGCCTATATATAGACATCTAATTCTCTATTTCAGCATCTTATCTTTACTCACATTTTTAGGGAGACAGAAAGAGAGAGCAAGGATTCGAGGTCTTAGCAGTCCACACTGCATTCAAATTCCGACGTTGGGGGATATACAATAAAGACCGCGAGGTTCATCAAGCTGTAGTTGTTTGTTCTGTTCTGCATTCGTGCTGAGACGAAATCAATCCCGAGAGATCTCGAAGGTAAACCAAAATTCCGCCTTATAGGATTTTAAAAGAAAATTTTTGATATTCAATACATACGCACTGTCAACGACTCTTGGGATTCCGTTCCAACCGAGGTATGGGCAAACTCGACAGTTCCAAATGTAGCCCATCATTGAGAGGGTGGGGGCATGGTAAGGCCCACCTCCTCAGTCGATTGTCCATTCAAACTGAAATTCATAAAGAACATTAAACTCCTTGATTATTTTTATGCATGTGAACTTTCTGAGGAGTTTCCTACCAAAGTGTCTGGGGTGTTAAGGGGATCATGTTCAGAAGTTTGGGAGTCATCAGGTTCAGTAACAATGTAGTTCACAGGGTGGTATTCTTTGTTCACAGGTGAAAAGGGTTGGTTATCTCTGTGTGGAGTATGGAAAAGGAGGTCTGGAGAAGTAGGTATTTAAAGGGGTAGCGCAAGGGTGCCATCTTCTTGTCTGTAGATTTTGTTGGCCTATTGTTGGAGGTATCTTCCAGTATATGGCGTTTCCACGAGAGGCCCTTAAAGACAGTTTCCATACTTTCATCTACAACTGTGTGAAGATGGGGAGGAAGAGGGGAATTTTGTAGGGTGTGAGGGGTATTTATGGCTGGGGTCAGGCTTTGGCTGGGTGGCTTGGGGTGAGGCTTATCTGAGGGGATAACTATGTATGTGTGGGTTGGTGCTTCAATTGGGCCTTCATAGTTGTTGAAGGTATATAAATGGGTAGAGGTGGTGGTTGGTTTAGATTTGGGTTGTTCTAGGCCAGGGCTTGATTGGTAGTGGTATGCTGGGATAAGTCAATTGGGGGCCATCTAAACATTGAGACATGTGAGTTAATGGGTTAGGGTTAGGGTTAGGGCAAATATGGTTTAGGAAATCAAAGAAGTTAAGCAGCGCGACCTGTGATTCTATTGGAGTCGGGACGAAATCATCCGATCCACATGTCTCTTTCTGGAGTCGTGGATTCGTGCGTGAATATGCGCCCGCATTCACGGTCTGGGACCATGTGCCGAATCTTTGTCGGGTGTGGGACGCGGTGTGCGTGAGGAAACTGGGTCACGCGCCACTTCTTAGAATTCTCCAGCAGCAGTCTCCGATGAATTTTAGTAACCAGCGGCCTTCCATGGATTTGCTCTATGTTGAGGACCATAAATTGTAAATTTGTTCTCCGGTGATGGATGAGCACATAACAGTTGGTCATGGCCTATCCTCCCACAATTGTAACCAAAATCAATAAATCACTCATATTTCAGTTGAATGAATTTCTTAGGACGTCCAGTTCTGGGAGGCAAAAATGGATGGGTAAGGGTTTGGTTAAGTCCAACATGATTCTGGTCCTCGGGTAGTTTTTCCACTAGGTTTTTTGACTGAGACTTTGCTCGGCAAGAACGGGCTTACCCAGAGCATTGGCTATTGTTTGTGCATTTTCAGGAGTATTCATCTCTGGGGGTATACCGTGAGCTTGAACACAGAAAAGTGCCAGAGGTGAAATCTATTTGAGAAAGGGAAGATGCTGAGTTCCATTGTTTGAGGACGAGGATCTGACCTTTTATAGACCATGGGCTTTGATTTAACATTCTGTTCCTCAGTTGTTCGTGTACAAAGATGAAAATGAAAGTCATTCCCATCTTGGATTTCCAGTTGATGTTCAGAGTTCCATGCCCGATTGAGAATGGTTTTAATTCCATTCCTATTTAGGGGTTTTGAAGTGAATAGTTTGCCAACCAGGCAAGAGTGGGATACAAGATCAGCAATGGGGGGGTTGGTATGGAGCTGGATGGTGGGCTGGTCACAGTATCGGAGGGAAGGAATTGAAGAGTTGATGTGTTCAGTAATGGAAAGATCACCTGGATGTAACATTGGTGAAAGATCGGGTATGGAATGGACTGTGGGTTTGTGATTTTAGAAGAGGGACTCAAAAAAAACTGCTTTTCTGATGAGGTGAACGTTGGAACAGTGAGTGTGGTTATCAGTGGGAGGTGAGTTGCAGGGGATGTAAGCATCTACAGAAACAATGAGTTTTACAACTAGCTAGCCAAAGTTAGTTAAAATTCGAGTGTAAAAAAATATAACCCTTAATTCAAAACAATAACATAACAGGATTCATATAATAGATCCCAAATAATTGGCACCAAGTCTTTATTGTGTTGAGGCATGCTTAGATTGAATTTATATGCAGTTCGAGTGCAAAAAACGGCCGGTTTGAATTTCAAGAGTTATTTTTTTGGGCCATTTGTCCTAAATCAATTGCGCTCACAGTTCAGTGGTCACCCACCCACCACTCAGACCGTCAGACGCCTACTCACCTCTCAGGTGATGAGACTCACTACTCCAACGACCTTTCAAGCGAGGAAGAGAAAGCAAGAAGGCCAGGGACTCAGGGAGACTGAAAAAAATTCCTCCGCTTACTTCGACAAGAATGATACTTCTTTGCCAGAAGCTCTCTATCATTCGACAAGAATATTATATGATTGGCTCAACCAGCTAACTATGTGGTTGAACCAGTGACCCTATCTTCTTGCTGGATCGATAGCCAATCCCGTTCGGATAACATTGCTACAAACTCTCCCAAAAAACAAACTTTTTTCTAGCAATTGGTCAAAATTAATTTCTCCTTCCATTTTCTTCCCCAAAATATATTGGTTCCGAGATGTATGGATTTGTTCTAGAAAGAGAACAGGCTTGAAAAACAAAAAATATACAGGAAATTCTCTTTTCACAAGTCTAATTTGGTGTCTAAACCTAGCCGTTCTCAAATCAAATCCCCTAAAGTTGATTCCCTACAAATTGATTAATAAAGAGAGGCATCACAGAAAAAATTATGACCAATGCATGAACTTTCCGTCAATAATGGAATCCAAAAGAAATAAGAATTTGATAGACTTATCTTTCTCAAACTCAAACATGCAATAAATTGCTTAGGTAACCAAGGGCTCATCACTGCTCCAGATTCGACCAAGAAAGTGCATTATCACATCATACATCAATTAAAATAAAAAATTATGCCTAAGGAAGAAACTTAGAGGGGGAAATTGATTCAACTATTTTAGCTGGAATATGATATATGACACAGGTTGACCGAAAAAAAATCCAGATACTAGTACATACTTTCAAAGTTGGATTTGCGATCTGGCTAGAAGCCAGTTCTCTGACACTTGCTTTTAATTGAAGTTGTCTGTGCACCATTATATTTCCCAGTATAAGAAGCTTACAACTCCCAGCTAAACAGCCCATCATGAATCCCTTACTTGTTCCTGCAGATTCTGTTCTCTTCAGGTGAGGTCCATATGCGCTTTTGCCTACATATCACAGAATTTTAAGTAACCAACCACAGTACATTTTCCCCAGATAACAGTCCTACATCAAAAATCAGGTTGTTCAATTAAGTTGCCTTCAGAGCTATCATTTCTTCATGAGCAACACTTTAAATCACTAAGGTGGTGCCCTCTACACCAACAAAGCCACAATAGCGGCAAAACAAACATTCACACTCATCCTATTCACCGTCCACCAATGGGTTTTCTCAACTTAACTAAACAAAGCCTTGTCTCAATATTTTTGGGGTTGGCTAAATGAATCATGCTCTACACAAATGAATCTTATGACATTAAAAACAAAAAAGGATAGGATGCCTGGAAGTTGTGTTTGGTGTAGAGTATCATCCCTCAAAACAGTTTAGACTCTTTTGGCTGGTACTAAACACATTATTAGTCAGGACGGCATTTAGTCACCAAACATCTTATTGAGTCTTTTAAATATTGGCAAGAGACTTAGGAGGAAATACTTTTTTTTCATAGACAAAAGTAGGACTTGGAAGGACTTCACATGAGGTGAAGTTTCGTTGTGTCGTGCTTTCTTGATTTCAAGACAAGCACAAGCACCTGCCCACATAAACCAGACAAGGAATTTTAATTGATATTATATCCACCTTTATAAGGGCTGGAACCAGACCATGAAATTTTAATTGAATCATATTAAACTATATAAGGTCCATTGCCGAGTGCAATAGACAATTAGTAAAGTATCGACTTAACAAACTTGAGATTATAGACCCGAATTTGAGTGCAGCCACGTTGCATAAATAATGCTAAAGTTTAGGTCAACAACTAGTCAATCCCTCCCTTAAGGGGGGCGAAATAAGGTAATATAAACCTATGCCTAATGCCAAATGTCTACAATTTTCAAGGGATAATGGGAGAGTTGAGAATCCCATTACAGGGGACTCATAGAGTGCCTTATTTGTAAACATGAGTTTGGAACCTATTTCGATATATATTTCCCTCAAGTCAACTCAATAAAGCCTTATCCCAATAATTTTTTGGGTAAGTTACATGAATCCTGTTTCGCCTTTGATACAATAGCTATACTTTCTGTTAAACTATAAGTTATACTATTTTTCTCTACCATTTCATTTAAAACTAATGTTGGTCTTTCTTTACACCTTCCTTTATCGTCAGTAGACATCGAATCAATGGTAGATCGTCTAGAGATATATCCAAACCATCTAAGTCAATTCTTCCTTATTCTATCTCATATATGTGCTAAAACTCTACTTTTTCACAGATTATCTCATTCATAATTCTATCCTTGCTAGTTTTATCACACATTCATCTAAATATTCTCATTTCTGCCACGCTCAATCATTGGACATGTTTCTATTGCCCAACACTCAATATCATAAAACCTTATTTGGTCTGATGACAGTTTTATTGAACTTTCCATATAACTTAAGGGGCATGCGCATATCATACAATACACCTATTCCTCCATTTAATCTATTCTACATTAATTCCGACAGTACCATTGACACCAATCTCGCAATACCTATGGATAATTGACCCCCAATAGCAACAGTGTCCCCAGTTTAGTATCTTCTGATCCTCAATCTTTACTACTCCCTGATTTGGATCCTCATTTTATTAAAGTTTCAATCTATATATTCAGTTTTATTTCTACTTATTTAAATCTTGTTGATTCTGAAACCTCTCTCCAATTTTTAGTTTATGATTAAATCATTACTTTCATTAAATTAATACTACATCACCAACAATTTAACATACACCATGAAATTTCATTCTAAATGTCTATAGTCAATTAATCAAAAGCAAAAAGACATGGAGTCAAAGCCGACTCCTAATGTAAGCCTATAGTGATTAATAATTCATTAGTCTCTCATGACCGTTGTTCTCTCTAAAGTCACAATGTTTTTGTATATATCCTTGATAACCTTATTAAAGTTCTTATTTTCTATATTAGACATAAGTTAATTAGTGTAACATAATATTGTAATACTCTAATGCTACTCAATTATAAATAAGAAGTGTAGGGCAACCTAACACACACTACTGATTATTACTCTCAATCTCTTACTCTCTCTTTTCCCTTCTTCTTTTTTCTTTTTTGTATCTCAAACCCTAATCCATATTTTACATATTCAATTTAGTATCATAGCACATTATCTTGTTAAAAATGGAAAGAAAAAAACCTCAAAACCTCATTACGTGAAGTTCCAAAAAATAAAAAGTTGTTTGGATTGTGTCTTATATTTTTGAATTATCTTCAAAAACAAAAGGGTTGATTTCACGATCTGCTCTCCGAAGCCATTAGACCTGTTTCAACCTCTCGTTTCACACCTAAGAGGTGCAACAAGGGCATAGGGGTCAATGGTGATCGACTCATGCCTCGTTGAGTTGTTATATGGTTGTGTTACAATTACACGCCCTGATATTACATATCATTGGTGTATTTAGTCAGTTTATGCATGCCCTTCGTTAAGCCTCATTGTAAGGTTGTGTGCCATATACGTCGGTATCTAAAAGGGACTCCACGGATTATATCGTTCATCATCATTCATAACTGTTGTTGATTTTTCTAACACAGATTCGACAAGGTAGTCATGGTGATAGACGATCTACTTTTGGCTATTACACATTTGTTTGTGGTAATCTTGGTACCTGACATAATAAGAAGCAAAACGTGGTTGCCCGTTCTAGTGCAGAGGCTGAGTATCATGCTATGCCACATATTGATTCTGAAATGCTATGGGTCCGTTCTTTACTTCGTGATATAGGACTTGATGTGTCTTCCCCCATAAAAATGCCTTGTGACAATCAAACAGTTATTTTCATTGTAAATAATCTGGTATTTCATGGGCGTACC